CGCTTGGCTGACAGCCAGTATTAAGCTTGTTGCCTAAAGTAAAAGTTTCATATGAATTGGCGCTTCTTAATAAAGGATATTTCCCTGTGAAACTGGGGTTCTATCTGTCACGATTTATAGCTAGATTAACTAAAAAAAATTAGCTAAAAAAAAAACAAACGTGTCTGTAATTTAGTTGCTAATCTAGTTGAATATGTATCGCAAATGCAAGTGAAACTTCGCAAAAAATTGAGCTATAGAATAAGGATTAAGGAAGGAAGAAAGAAAGAAAGAAAGAGAGAAAGAGAGGAAGAAAGAAAGGAAGAAAGAAAGAAAAAACAAACAAACAAACAAGCAAACAAACAAGCAAATAAACGAACAAACGAACGAATAAATAAAAAAAGAAGAAAGAAATGAAAGAAAAAAAGAACAAACAAACAAACGAACGAACGAACGAACAAACGAACGAATGAATAGAAAAAGATCAAGATAAGGATTTCTAGGGGCTTATATCAGTGTAACATTTTTGAACAATAAAAGATGGTTAGATAACAATTGTACAAGTCTGTGGGAACGGATCATGTGTTTTATACTACCCGGCAAATGGTGCAAAGATAAGAGTGAGATCCATAGAAAAACGTTCAGTTTTCCCTGTCTAAGTAGTACGTGAATGGTGATGATTCATACAATATAACAGACGGACAGATGTATAGGTCTGACCTGATCGAACATACCGTCATTTTTGCAAAAGCAAAAAAAAAAAAAGTGAAAAAAAAAAAAAAAAAAAAAAAGATAAAAAAGAGGTGAGATAAACGAAAAATAAGGAAAAAACCCCGATAGGAATAAAGAGAGGAGACAGAACTGAAGGAAATAGGAACTAAAAAAAAAGAAAACTGAGAAAGAATGAGGAAAAAAGTCTAATAAAAAGAGATTAAGAAAAATTAAAGAAAGCATTGGGCATATGAAGACAGTTCTAAATCAGGAAGCTTTTTTATTTTTTTAAATATTTTTGAAAATATGTTTTTCTTACTATGTTTTTTTTTGTTGCTCGTTTTTTAAATTTATCTTAAGGTATTTATTTCCAGTTTTCCTTTGATATAGCCACGCATGACCTTCAAAACATCAAGTCACTATCTTCCGGCTCTGCAAGTCCCTAAATTCAAAACCAAGGGTCGTTCTCCATCTTAAGTAATATAACTTCATTAAAGAGTTTATCACATCGTATTTCCGCTATTCGTTTAAATTGCTTGAAGCGAGAAGTCGATTTTGGTCCGATATTATTATTTTTAATTTAATATTACAAGAACAACTACTTAACACATGAGAGCGAAAGGAACCGAAAAAAAATCTCATAACTGAAGGACTAAATTACAAATCAGTTGTCATAAAACAATTCATAGGAAAAAAGTACCTTTTTCTAGGATAAAAACTTGTCTTAATATTGATATTTGTAATGACAGAAGCGTTCAAGTTTAAAGAGTCGTAATAGAAACGTACACACTTCGTATGAAGTCCAAAACACCTGGTGTTGTGAACGTAAAAATGATAGCAAAACTTCACACCCAAGGTACAAGGTTTAATTTGTTCAAGGCGGGCGAATTTGTGTTTTAATTTACCAGCATGGACTGCAGTAGTTATCACTGGTTTATTAAAGAAATAAAGGTATATTAAAATCGGGTCGGACTTGGGGTCGAATCTAGAAAAAAACTGTATGAATAGAGCTTAACTTGTTCGGAATTTCAATAATTTTTCCTTTAGTTTAGTTCTTTGCAATAAAAATAAAATACCCAGTGGTCATAATTAAAACAATAAATGGACTGTATATAAATAAAAGTTTGGAATTTCAATAATTTTTCCTTAATTTCCTTTGCAAAGAAAGAGAAACTTTTTTCCCATGGCTCACAATTAAAAAAAATTAAATCAGTCCAGAGTATCTACTTAACTTCACATAAAACTCAGTGATATGTGTTTTTCTGGGTTAGATTTAGCAAATATTCGTTCTATAGTTCTTTAATCATCAAAAATGCAAGGACAACTTTTCCTGGTCATTGACCTGGACATTTCTGTCACCCAAAACATTTCTTGGAATGCATATCGATCGGAGCCGGTACCACATTGACCAGTTGTCAAGCACTGCTTAACTTTAGAAAACAATTTACTGTTAATTCATTGTTTGAATGTCAAAACAGTCCAGTGAAGTAGTTATTGTTTATTTTCACGTTGTTGGGATCCTTATTACGTACTCTAGAAAGAAAAAAAAGCCAACTCCAACGCCATAAACTTTGAGCCCTGAACAAGAAAATTCCCACATAAGCTATTAGATAGGGTGAAATGAAATTTCAATTAATTTTGCACAGAAGAGGACCTTGATTTCATCTTGATGAGAGTCAGGTGTAGGGAACCGGTAGGATATGACTGTAATGTGTGAACATGACCGATAGTAAGCTAAATTAAACTTCTGTAAACAATACTACAAGCATTCCAGTAACACATATTTGTATTAAGATCACTTCAAAGAGGCAGTAGTTATTACATTTGGTTTAGGACACAATTTTAGTTCAAAACATCTTTTGTGTCAAGAAGCCTTATTAGTGTTGGAAAAGAGCTTGAATTTTTCGTTTTTGAACACTTTTTTCCAGTTTTCATTGCGATGGGAGTAAAAAATTCGGTTCGAGGTCTAAAAAATACTGAAAACTATGAAAGGAATGCCGGATTTTGGCAGAATGATTTTTAAATTTCAAAAATGTACGGATCATTTGGGAAGAAGCCATGAGAAAGTGCCATCGTGTTGGAGGCTGTCAAGGTTTCTTCTATCTTTTAATTGTTTTGAGCGATAAGGACAAAACCTTTTTAACTATCCCTACAAAAACAAAACTAACAAAGTCCTATCTTGTATGCATCTGGAAAAAAAATATGTTTAAAGCCTGTTATCATGGAATAAAAGTGTCTTTTTCCCATGCTCTAATTATCCCGATATAGCTCGCCATTTTGTGAAACTGCAGATTTTTCGCTTTACTGCCGTAAATGAAAATTCCTAAATATTTTCAACTTTAGACGGCAACTTTGCTGGATATTTAAGCTTCTATGTGTTCACACACAAACGAAGTTTGACTTATCAAACAAGATGCCGTTTCTAAACCATTGTTTGCGTTTGGCTGCACTAGTAATGAAAGTTCAGCTTTAAACTTTGTTATCTCAAACGCATACAAGTTGATAAACATTCTATCCAATTCAACTCAAATTTATCTTTTCAATCTTAATGATTTTCCTGGAATTTTTATCTAGTTTTACTTGAGCTTTTAATTTTTTTCTCTTCTTCAAGAAGCATAATTTTGGAAAAACTTGGTATGGGAAAATGAATAAAGATCTCAACTCTATGGTCAATTGACTGGATTATTTTTGTCAGTTACGATACCAGTTTGCGAATTTGTTTGCCTTGTTTAATTGTTTTCGTATTTCCACTCATAAAATTGATTTTTATCATTACTTTAGCGACTTTTATCTTTTTAAAAACCCTGTTATTGAGACCTAAAAAAACATTGCTGATGTTCAATTTAAGAGACACAATTGTTGTTTTTGCCAGGAAGGCTTATTAAATTATTCAATGTTATTAAAACACTTTAAAAAAATACCCTAACCTCGCGAGTAACAAAAATCTTGTCATTTCAATCTCGTTGTTTTTATTTGGACAATCAGTTAAATGGTCACAAGGCGTTCCAGGGTTTTTGGTGATCAGTACTTGCGGGTTTTAGAGGAGTATGATAATTGCAATAAACGATATCGTGCCGGCTCTTTTGAGGCGGCATGCTACTGTAGGGTTGTGAATAGTACAATCTTATGTGGGGAGACCGCTCATCCCTGATCAATAACATGCTAAATCTCTCTATTGTCCAACGCCACCACACAAACTTATTGTGTTAAAATTAACATCAACAAAACCATCGAGATTGAAATAAGTGGCTTATTGTCGTAAGTGACTGATAGCTTGCGGCGTCCGTTTAGATGCCGCCAATTGAGAAGCCAGCAAAAGGATTACCAACCCAAGGCGGTCTACTTTGCTTCACAGTTTCGTCCAGGAAGGTCTTTAGCCGCCGATATCGTTTCATAGTACCATACCATACGACTGGCCTCTACCGAGACAGACCCTGTCAGACAGACAAAGATTAGACTCTTTCTCTCACATTTTTGACAGGGTCAAAGAAACCAACCTTTCGCACAACATCTAATCTTCTTTAGAGGTCTCTCTTGTAAATCACCTTATGGTGACAGCGATAACCTCAATAAAGATTATTTATTATTATTATTATTATTCACACAAGTCATTTTACAAATTGACACTTTATTGGCGTAGCGTGGCGAGCAAATCTAGGAACCCTAGGTCGTTGGTCAGTGCCTATGGTCAGTGGGATGTCCTAGTGAGTGACACGTCTATACTAAAATATCGTTAGAATGCCGGTTAGAATAATATAAGCACTTCAAAGGCTCATATTAATTAAGATTATTGGCGAGAGCGATGATGAGTTTTCAAACCGCCGAATTACCACAATGAAAACAATAAACCAAAGTTTCCGCTTTCTAAGTTTCTAGCAACGGAGGTTTTCTTTCTGGTAATCGAGAAGTTGTGAACGTTAGAGTGTCATCTTGAAGCGTACCAGTTAAACGGTTTGACCCCTAGGGTTAAGCATTTCGGTAAAACTGTGTCACTTTTGTTTTCTGATTATTTCTCACCCTGTGGGAAATGTTTGACTTTGTGAGAGGTTCAATAATTATTGATGTTCCCTGAGTAAAGAAGATAGTCCTGTCGGCCCGTTTGATTGGCTGTTCTCTGTGTACACAAGTCAAACCTATCTTGTCACTGTTTATTGCTATCTTTCTTTACCTGTGTCCCTCGATTAAATTCGGGCAAGTACCGCGCTCTGATTGGCTGCTCACTTGGGATTTAAATATCTATAGTTAATTACATTTCTGACATGTGGGAACAAGGTGTGACTTTTATTCATTGATGGCTAATTAGAGAGCTCGGTGAGTCGTGGAAGGTATAATTTCATTTTACCGGATCATCTGGCTCAGTGATAGCGTATTAGTACGCCAAGCACTAAACAACACTTAGAGAGTGAGAAGCAAAAGCGCACTCCACCACTTGTCATGCACTCAGACGAGAAGAAGCCCTCAGCGTTCAGCGTTAACCATATCCTACAAGCAGCAGAAAGCTCAATGGCAGATAACAACGCGAGCAGAGAATCCAACAACGAAAACAAAATTACTTCAGATGAGAGCCAAGTGAAGATAATTTTAGAAGAAGCTGATTTATGGCGAAGATTCAAGTCCTTGACAAACGAGATGATCGTAACTAAGAATGGCAGGTACGATACGATATCTTTACAACCCATTACAGTGACTAAACTTTTTAACTAGTGAATATAATTGGAGTTTGTTTTGACGTTTATCTTCTACAATTTCCCCTCAGGCGAATGTTCCCGGTACTAAAGGTAAATGTGACTGGACTAGAGCCAAAATCCATGTACTCTTTTCTCTTGGATTTCGTCTGCGTTGGAGGCAATAGATGGAAGTACGTTAATGGTGAATGGGTATTAGGAGGCAAGCCTGAACCCCCAACACCAAGTTGTGTGTATATTCACCCAGATTCTCCAAACTTCGGTGCCCACTGGATGAAACAGAGCATTGGATTTTCTAAAGTCAAACTGACCAACAAGCAAAGCAGTTCAGGACAGGTATGAATCAGTCATGTATATTGTAACTAGATTAGCTGGCCTGAGCGGACGCTAACGTCTTGGTTTATAGTAGACGTTCGTTCCATAGATTCAGTTTTTTTGAAGGTCGTTTGAGAATATTCAAAAATATGGTTTTATATGAGTGTTTTAAAACCGGTAATCTGATAATATCTAGACGTGGCATAACTACATCAAGATAATAGTTTTCTTTAAAGAAATATAAACAATAGTTTAGCGATTTCAAGAACACTTCGTCTCGGTAGGATTCTTGGTTAAAATCTGGTACCAAAACACTTGGTTTAAGAATTACTTTTCCAGGATAATTATTGTTTCATTATTTGGTACGAAAGAAATCATAAAAGTTTCGTCAAAGACAGCCCACTTGAAACGAGCTTTTATTTCCTAAAAAGATTAATTACTTATCTAAACGTCGTATTCCTTTTCTTAACTTACTCAAATTTCTTTTTTTATTCCATAGCAAATAATGCTGAACTCCTTACACAAGTATGAGCCGCGGATTCATATTATCAAAGTTGGGGCATCGGACAACAACAGGACTATAGTATCACATTCGTTTCCCGAAACTCAGTTTATAGCCGTCACCGCTTATCAAAATGAAGAGGTGCGTTTGATTGTCGTGTGAAAGTGCACTTGAAAATGTGGTTATTAGGTGAAAAAGAACAGCAATAGAATTAATTAAATTACTTTGTGTTTCGTTTTCTTAGATTACAAGCTTGAAGATCAAATATAATCCTTTTGCAAAGGCTTTCCTGGACGCGAAAGAAAGGTAAAACCTTTGACCAGGAACCTTCAAAGAATCCCGTATTTGCCACGAAACCCATTTTGTTATTATTCTAAGTTTCTTTTTCATTCTATCTTTTGTAGGCAGGAGCAGAAGGAAGCGTATGAACAGTCCGAGACCCATTCAGCGTACTCCCAATGTAAGCACTTCTAGTTTACGAGTTCACAACAATTTGCTTTATTATTTTCATGGCAGCTTGTGAATTGCTTTCCTAATACATTCACAGTTTACTCTTCTTAAGAGGTTTCCAGCAAACCATGCCTCTCAGATTTCGCGAGCTTTTTCTATATCAGAAGTCTTTCTCAGTGCTCTCTTTCAAACGAACAATCGATAGCGCGTTGATAACATCTATTCAACAGGCTCCTGTCGCTCTAAAAAGGATCATAGTTTTTAGTTTGTAAACTTTTCTAAAAAAATTTGACGCGCAAATGTTGTTTGTTTGGAAATGGACTATAGATTTGATGACGTTTTCAAAAATTTTCTCCATAATTTAGGTTCAATTAAATAAGATATTTTCGCATTGGCATAAAATATTATATTAAATGAATCCATAAAATGAAGAAGTTTTTATTAAGGAAAATAATCAATAAGGGTTTTTGTTGGAATATTAGAATCATGTCGGTACCCTTTGTGCCTTTTAATCATGTTTTACTTGTTTGCTCAACAATTTTACTTAAAAATTCTAAAAATCGTTTCTTATTCTCGTCTATTTTTATAGGTGGTTGGTTCTGTGCTGGTCCGCCGCCCGTGTATTCTCATCATCATCATCATCCTTCATCGTATCCTCATATATCAGCATCGCCTTATCGAGGAATAAGTCAGCTAGGCATCCGAAGTCATCGTCCAGCTCCCTACCCAAATCCCTACTACAAACGCGCGGATCTTTCGCCGCCAGGTAAGTTGACATAACTTTTTTATTTTGGTTTGGCCAGTAAATCCTGCAAAATTAGCGCTTACTAGCGTAACAAGATTTTTTAAAGTGTTCTTGACTATCTTTTTTATTTCTTACAAGACCTCTCGCGGTAATTCAAAATAGTCGTTATTTTTTCTTCGGTCGTTGTCAGATATGAAAGCCGTATGACTTGATTAACACATCTTGATATCAGTTAAAAGTAATATCCTGGCAGGCCTCAAGATCAAAGACGCGCGCTTTACTGTGTTTTATTAAGACTGCAAGATTGATGGCATTCTTGAATTACGTCAAACCCCGTTAAATCTCTCCCTCGACTTGCAAAAAGTGCGCTAAACTTTAGCTTTGGAATTTCCTTTTTTTTGTAACATAATAATTTTTTTTCGCAAAAACAACCTGATGTCGTCTTTCGAAAACCGATCAAGTTGAGGATGACGTGAACTGATAACACTTTTAATTTTGTGTCCTTATACATTTCTCAATTCAAATTATTTTTCATCTATTAATTTCAAATGCGGTTACTCCTATGTCAGCGTCTTTTGATTCCTTTTTGTGTTTTCTCAATCATTTTATTTCTCATTAAATTTATTCCTACGAAAAAATTAAAAAATACTATTAACAATTACGCCCACTAAAAGTGGTTTAGTTAAAGTTCCATTTTCTCCTACCAAATCAGGTTTAAACAGCTGATCTTTGTACATCAGTAAGACGTTCCCAAAAAAAACAAAAGCTGCTTTTCGAATTTGTTCTACATTTTGCTGATATTCCTAAAATGACAACCACAAAAAAACTTCTTTCAAATGTTCTGAGCAACAAAGCCATTTATCATCCAACTTATTTAGTTGTCAGAAGTAATTCCGAAATAGCTGAACAAACTGAAATTTAATTTTAGACATTTGATATACACATATATCTCTTTTTTAATATCTTTCTTTGTTTTCCATTCAATAATACATTTTTTATTGGATAAATACTTCTTGTAATAACAGTAATATTGCGAGTTAGAAGTTATTTTCTTAAGAATTATTTGAAAATTTTTTTATGATCACTATGTAATCGCTGCGAGTTTTTCTTTTTTCTTTTCGTGATTCGTAAGCAATTAAAAAGGCTCAAAACTCAATTTTCTCTTGTCATTGTTTCCTAATATTATTTCCACTATTTTCTATTCATGTTATTCTCTTGAAAAAATAAAAATAAAACCTTAGTGAAAAGAAGGAAAATCTTTTGTTATGAAAGAAAAATCTTAGCCATGATGAATGGAATTCTTCGTACGATTTGGCGTTTCCTGTAGTAACTGAACAAATAAGGCTATAAAATGAATGAAAACTAACAACTATGACTAACGATAAGAAAGTAAATCAGCGACTTAAGATTTTTAGGGAGTTTACTAAAAAACTTTATTTTTGAAGAAAAATTTCAAAAACTAATAATGGTATTTTTACTTAGTTCCCCTTATTACGGAGTGATCAGCAACAACAAAGTGGGATTCGGAATTTCGAACATAGATATCGAATGATCATCATCTTCAGCAGTTAATCGTGTTGCCGGGTTGCATTTCGCTTCGATATGAAATTGCTAAACAAACCATTCATGATGTGTTAATTATTACACTTGATTCTGACATTTTATCGTCTTCTCTTCTTTCTTGTAGGTATTCCACAACAATATTATACCCAAGAATCCAATCAGCTAATTTTTCCGGGGGCTCCAACGATAGATAACCTGGCTATACCGACCACAGTCGGACACCATCCGCCTTCAGGACTATCGTCTATCGGCGGATCAAGTCCTTATGGGCGAGTTTCACACGATTTAGATAATCATCGACGAGAAACTACCGAGAAGTCTAAACATCTTCAAAATGGGAGCTTAACTTTGCATCCTGCATGGACCACGATTCCGCAACCTTAAATCAGTATAAAATTCAAAATAGAACTAAAATAAATACAACGTTAGCTGTTACATGAGGTATTTGACGAGCACCCATTAAAATCTTATATTTGGGTCGAAAATTAAGAAAATATTTTTTTCAAGGATGTATTGAGATTTGGATCAAGTATGACTGTATGACTGACTTGCTCATTTGGACGACACTATTGATCGTTAAAAGGAAAAAGAAGCTATGTACACTAATTGGAATACCATATTACACAAAGATTAAAGCAAATATCCCAGTACGAAGCTCAATTTCAATTTTTTTTGGTGAGGTTGCGAAGCAAAATTATAACAGGGAAGAAAGAAAAAAGAAATTTTTCTGGTTCGAATGTCTTGCGGAATGATAGTCTTGTTTTGATCCAATTTTGATCCAATTACCAATCCCCCTTTRAAGAAACACTAGAAAACAAAAAAGGAATCGAAAAAGAGTAACAGCTAACTTAATTTATTCACTGTAAATAAGATTTGTAAAATACGTTCAAGTTATTTATGACAAAATTTCAACCTGCGAGATGCGGTTTCATTGAGTACATTATATATGAAGGCCCGAAATTTTAATGAAATTTACGAGTCAAAATGTCGCAAAACCAAGAAAAATATGCTTGTAATTTGAAAATTGTTCTGATAAGTTGCTTATATTAATGATACTAATCGAATTTAGATTTATGAAGCAAAAAGCTTTAACATAGTCAGAAATTATATAGTAATATTCCCAAACTCCTGATTCAATTAAAAATGAACAAAAACAAGGATCATGATATTAAAAGTTATTTTTATTATTTTTACCATCCATTTGAAATTCTAACACCATCTAGCTTCTAATTTACGCTCAAAGACAATCATTAGATGGCAAGACATTGAAAAGAAAACTGTATACACAATAAAAAAGTAAAAAAAAAAAAGATTTTTCTTATTAAGGCGTGGAGATGGAAGAGTGCTTAGGCGTGATATTAATCTTTTTTTTACTCTCCAACGCTTTGGTCAAAAAATCTTCGAGGAAAACTGCTAATTTATTTGTTATCGATATATTTACAGCATTAGAGAGATTTAGTTTGACTTTTCTTTCTCCCCACAAACGGCAAACGTGACCACGTTTTCATAGTTTTCCTTTATTTTACTTTACCTTTTACAAACCTTC